CGCCGCGGTTTGGAACAGATTACGCTGCAGCTGAACTAACGCACCATCGGAAATCGCCGAATCACGTGCGATTCGTATACCGGCATCCGTTGGGACGGCGATTGAATCGGTTCCTCGTGCATCATTTGCGGCGGAACCTGATATTCCCCTTCTGGCATCGCTTGAGGCGGCATCCCCTGCGGCGCGATTCCGTGGGGAGGCATGCCTTGCGGTGGAACTGCCCCTGGAGCCAATTGCCGCCGGGGATCTGGTCCGAAAGATGTCGGCCGCTTGCCTGGCGGTGGCGGACTTAGCTTGGGCCAAGGGTACTGCGATGCCTGTGGGACCGCGTCCAACTTGGCATAGCTTTCTTCGTACGCATCGATTTGTCGGCAGTTCAAGTCTTGTGTCGGGAACGGCAGAATCTCGGTTCGCAGAAAGACGACCAGTTCACTTTCCCGAACCTGAGTGCTGCGATAGCGAAACAGCTTGCCGACATACTTGAGATCCTTCAAGTAAGGAATCCCGTTGTCGTTACTGATATCGATTCGCTGACGAAGACCACCGATCACCAACACTTGGCCATCGGCGACACGCACGGTGGTGCTCGTTTCTCGCTTATCAATAATTGGCTGACGGTTAGGACCTTCGCTAAAACCTGTTAGCCGGCTGAACGTCGGCACCACATCCATTTCGATTGTCCCGTCCGCGGCAATTCGAGGAGTCACCGTCAGCATGACGCCTGCTTCTCGAAACGCGGTGGTCCCAATATTCCCCCCTGCCGACGTCTGCGTCAGCTGCTGATAAGGAATTTCAGTAACGATCTGAATCAGCGCTCTTTCTCGGTCCACCACGACCACGTTCGGATCCGCGAGCAAACGAGAGTCGTCCATTTGCCGGACGGCGTCAATCACTGCCTTCAAGTCGAACCCGCTGCTCAGCGTTTGAAACGTCATCACCCCAGTCGGATCGCTTGCCGCCGCAGGAATTGCAATCGCCGACTCGATCCCGAACAGGTTCTCGGTCGTTCCGTCTGCCAGCGTTCGCCCTTTGAAAAACGTGCTCCAGTTTACGCCCAGGTTTTCCATGTCGTCCAAGTCGATATCGTAGATCAGCGCCGTAATGCGAACTTGCGGTTTCGGCACGTCCAGCCGCCGCAGCATGCTCTCGATCATGCGCAGGTTCTCGGGTCGATCGATGACGATGACTTGGTTCTCGGAGTCTACGACCGCTGCACGCCCATCGGCGCTAATCAACGACTGGATCGCTTCCAGCAAGCTTTTCGCGTCGATATATTCAGGCCGAAAATTGAGGACGTCAGTAATGATCCGCGTGCCAGGAGCGGCACCAGATGCAGCGGCAACGCGATCAATATTGGCAACCGCCTCCCGAATCATCTGAACGTGATGGGGATAGTCGACCACTGCCAGGCTATTCGCCGAAGCAATCGCCTGAATCGATCCACCCCGCGAGCGAAGGGACTCCAGCGCCGGAATAATCTCTACGGCACTGGCATGTTTCAGCGGAATCGTCTCGGAACGGAACATGGGATTGGCCGTTCCCAGTTCGGTTTGCGGAACGATCACCAGACTATCGCCGACGGGGCGGTAGCCATAGCCGTTGAGCAGCAGTATCGAATCGAGAATGTCGTACAGCGGGGCGTCGCGGAAGGTTCCGTTGATGGTCCCTTCCACTTTGCTTCCCAGCACGACGTTGATGTTCCAAATCTCGCTGATTGTTTGCAGTGCGTGCGGCAGGCTTGTTTCTCGCAGCGTCAAATCTCCGCGCTGCTTCAAAGCAGATTGAATGCGGGGACTGATGCCTTCGGCAGAAACATGACCAACACCGACGCCCAGGCAAACCATTGCGATAGCCCACAGCAAACCGCCGCGCAGCAGACAGACGCTAAGCCGAGGGCAAAGCGATCTGGCGATCGAGGAGTTTGCGTTTTTTAGGCCATCCTGGCGTTGTGACATTCCGTTGCTTTCACCAAAACGTGATCGCGCGGTCTAGGGGCAAAACCGTAGCGGTTTTCTCAGGACTTCAACGATTCATCCTGCTTGGCACGACGAACTCCAAACAATTGCAGCGCTAGTTCCAGTTGAACCTGGTCGCCGTTGGCATCCAACGCTCGCAGGTTCATTTGCTGCAAGTTCATTTGAACATCCAGCGTCTCGAACTTCTCCAGAAAACTCTCAATCTCGTGCATCTCGCCGGTCATCGTCAGGCGAAGTTCGCGAACTTCCAAGCGGAAGTCGGTCTTCTTGCCTCGCTTGGCGGTCGAAACGGCTTGCACAGGATGATCCTGTTCGTGCCAGTGACGAACACGCACCGGGCCAAGATCAACTCGCCGCAAGTGGCAATTCGATCCCCGAGCAAAATGAACCAGCGACTGGCGAACCTCGTGGGCTCGGTCTTCGTCGATGGCTCGCTCTTGATGCTGATTGAGCGTCTCCTGAATTTCGGCATGTTTGGCTTGGATCAAAGCTAGTCCGTCGCGGTCGTTGGTTCCCTGCTCTAGCAGGCGCGCGACTTCCTCCGATCGTTCTCGTAATGCCGAATATTCATCGGCGGCCGGAATAAGCGTCACAAGTGCTACCACAAAAGTTACGATTATGCCGACCATCAAAGCGTGTGGATGCCTCAAAAGGCGGAGAACCGATTCACTAGATGCTGCCATCGTCTTGATCCTCCAACTCTTCCCAATCGTCAATGTCGCAGTGAATGGTGAACTTGATCGCCGGTCCCGACTTCGTATTCGACGGAACGGCACCGTCGACGGTGGCTCGATGCACGAAGTCGAATTGCCCCACCTCTTCGCCGTAGGCAAAGATGCTCGCCTCGTTGGTCGTATTCCCTTCGATGGTCAGGTCACCTTCGTCATCCAGGGACACGTTTGTCAGCCATGCATCGTCCGGAACGGCCTGACCGATCTGCTCGATCCACCGAGCCAC